GTCATCATCCAATATGAGGATTGCAACAATTAGTCTATGGGCAATAATCAAGATAGGTAGTAAAGATTCAAAATGTGCTAACAATAATTGAAGAAGATGCAAACCACAAACTCGTATTTGAGAATAAAATGTTACATATTAATAGATAGTCTCTACATAAAGCTAATATTTGAATATTTTAATTTTACAAAAACCTATTTCTATTGGACAAATGAATTTTCTAGACTGATGTCCCATTAACCATGATGGTTTATTGAATACCTCATACAATAACACCATTTAAGGTGAATGATTGTATAAAGCAACCCAAGAATCATTCTGTGATCTATTGAATAAGAAAATATTTCACTAGTTTCAATAAATCAATCACTTTGACAACCAAACACTTACATCAATCAATCAAGATATATATATTTTTTTTGTAAATGAAAATATATATTTTCTCGAACTAAGAGATTTAAATTAACTAAATACTCAATTTAGGATCAAATGTTTGAATAGTTGCTTAATTTAAAACTAAATGTTTTATTTTATTCAAATTAGGATTAAACATTTTCAAATGTCAAACTTTTTCAAATGGAAATAATGAGGTGAAATACATTCGCGATTAAATCTAAAAAATTTGACAAATGGATAAGATGTGTATTTTTTTTTTATTTTAAAAATCATCTTTTAGTAGTATTATGTTTTTTTCTTTTTTGCTAAATTATTCTCTATTCTCAATCTTTCTCTTTCTTTTCAAAACCTATATCTGTTTTATCATTTCTTTTTCCTTTGTTCATTCTAAAATTTTAGGAAAATTATTCTCAAAGTAAAAGCCCTAATATAATTTCTTATTCAAATAGGACTCATCTTGTTGTGAAAATTCAACGTTAGTAAAATTTTGTATTTTTTTTAAAATTTTTCATGCTTTTTTTCTTTTGATCACATTTTTAAAAATTTCTATAATTTTTTTTTTCAAAATCTTAATTTGCAAGGCTCTAGAGGTGGGTCTTGTTATAGAAGGCAAAGTTCAAAGCTATGTTTATTAATCTTTTGATTTTTTAACGTTTATATAGGTTTATATTCTTTTTGGGTTCTTTTTTACTTGAATGTTCTTATTTATGATTTTTTTTATTAAATTGAAATTCATTTTCCATTATTTCTCAACACTAACAATTGCTTAAAAAATGAGTCCCATTTGAACAGTAGAATTATCACTAAATCTTGCTTGATTTGATTCTTTTATTAATCTCTAATTTTCTAGCCCTGCCACTTCTTTCAATTCCTTAGATCCTAAAAATAGCCTATATGAGACATCATTGAATTTTTTTGAATGATGGATCTGGTTTCTGTCTTTTGATTCCAGTTGCTTTTTTCAAATTCTAATAAGATTTTCGATCCTTTTTCCCTTTTTGTATATTTGCAGAACTAGAATTAAAGAAAATTCTTCATGTTTTCTTCTTTTATTTTGTTATTTTAAAAAAATTTTTGAGAGGAAGGGTGTTAGCATTAAACAGTTTGCAAGTTAAGGATTTCAAGCTTAAAATTTGCAAGTTAGTGTTCTCTTTTTGCTAAAATTAGAGGTTTATTGAGAAAGCTTTGATTGCTTTAAAATCAAAGGCAGTGTATGAGTTTTGATGTTTATTTTCAATTGATTAATTAATGTTTTTTCTGTCAAGAGTTAAAAACCAAAAGCCAAGTCTAAAAATATCTAAGTTAGCATGAATTTAATTCAAATATGCATAAAAAAATTAGGTTAGCCACATTTTAATTCTTTCATGCTATAAGATGGCACGTGTATTTCACCTTACCACTTCTGTCTAAAAAAGTCTAACATTGTCACAAGTTCATAATGTTTGATTCTTATTTGAATCAAATAAAATATTTAATCTTGAATTGAGCAACCACCCAAATATTTTATCATAAATTGGGCATTTATTCACTTAAATTTGTCTAAATTATTTATATGCATATTTAACAAGATGAATCCAACAAACCATTAAAAGTGAGATACGAAACCTAGATGTATCTCATTAGGTCCTTAAAACAATGGATGTTGCATTAAGTCATAGAGTCTTAAACATAAGAAAATTAATTTTGGCTAATTTATTCTATTAGGCACATAACCACAAGATAAGATTATACAAATATAAAAATTAATTGAGGTAGAGTACATATTGTCAATAGATTCTTAGCATGTCAAAATTATATTTTATTATAAAATAAAATAATTTAAATATTAAAATATAACTATTGAATTATGAATGAATTAAAAACTAATTTGATTATTAGTTTTACAAATATTACTAACATTCATCATAAAAATTACTCATCGTCTTCTGAAGTGGAATTAGTTTTAGAGATTAATTCATAAATAATTTAGAAATATTACTAGTATTCATTAGAAAAACTACTCATTGTCTTCTGAATTTGAATTAGTTTTAGAGATTAAATCATAAATAATTTCTTTTTCAAAAACTTTTTCCCAATTCATTATTCAATAGTGTTAATAATTTTTTTAGCATTTTTCCCTTTCTTAGGGTATTGAGGTGCAATATGACCTTCTTCATCACAAATACAATATTTACACTTGGATTTCTTTTTAAAAGTTTTTCTTCTAACAAATTTTTTCTTTTTATCAAACTTATGTTTTTAGGCTTCCATTTTATTAATTATATCTTCTGTTCTTTTGTACTTCTTAGAATGGGTTTTAGATTGAGATCTACAACCAAACTCTCATTTATTATCTAATTTTTTGTACATTGTCTATCACTTAATCTATGTTTAACTTGCTTAGCAGCCTTTGTTTTAAGGCAATGTTCTATGACCTATTTAAAAGCAAAATAAACTCTATTTCCTATAGAATCTAATTAACCTCTATTTTCTATTATAGGGTTATAAAGTTCTAGATATCTCAGGTATTGTTGATTATAGATTTCATCCCAAGGTGATGGTAATTTATGAAAATATTGTTCTTTTCAAAATTTTGAATGTGTTTCATCCAATTTTTGGTATTCATAAGTATATTTTTTTAGAAAAGTCTTTGAATTATGTTATATCACAAAGTTTTATCTTTGTCAATATATAACTAGCTTCATTCTTTTACAAGATTCATTTTTTAATAAATTTATAAGGTTTTTTTTCCATAAATCTGGTATAGGAGCAATTTGATTTAAAAAGTTCCTTTCTAAGCTTTTCCTACTTTTGAATTTCCCTATTTTCATAAAAATTGCAAAACATCTCATTGAAATGTTTCACAAAAGTAATTTAAAAATTTTTCTTTAGACCAAGTGCCTTTGTATTTGTTTACTATAATAGTCAAGATTGTGCCCAATCTTCTATAGTTTTTCTATTGTCATTAATGAGATCTTTCAAAGATCTAAATCCATACCTCCTTGAGCTACTTTTTATTTTTGTTTAAAGTTTCTATAAAACTAGATTGAGGTATAGGTTCTATGATAGTTCTAGAAGTTGCTCCAATTTGTTTTATTTCATCATTGTAAATATCATCTTCAAGTATATTGTCAAACCTACTTTGTTCATCTAGTTCTTTGTTAGAAATTTCTCTTACTTTTCTTTTTCCTTTGTTAACCTTTTGTTAATCTAGATCCATAGGTGTAGGTTTAGTATCTATCTCATCATCTAAATCTTTGAAGAATGAAAATTCTGTACTACTAGTTTCTTCTTTTGCTACTAGATTAGTAACAAGATTTTATCTGTATCATTATCATTTTCATCATCTTTATTACTTTCATCTGTAGTATCATAATTAAGCATATAATGATAATTAAAAGTTCTATACGTGTCTCGTATAATTCTTCTATAATTTTTAAATATTCGATCCTTTCTTTAGGAATGGTTGCCTTTTCCATTTTATACTTAAGATGTTTTATACTTTTATAAGATTTAAAATCTAACTTTCCTACTTTAGAAAATTATGGAGATTGAGATAATGATGATGATGATGATGATAGTTTATCATCATTAAGTGTAAGAATAGCATTTCTATAATATAATGGTCCATAGTCATTTGTTTAACTTTTATCTACTTCTAAAAATTCTAATCTTTGGTTAATAGTTACTAATAACTATTTAGATTCTTAGTTTAGATCTAAACTAGTAACTTATCGTAAACTATCTATTTCTGATTCTAATATTTCAACTCTATTAAATAATTTTTTAAAGAAAGATATTGATAAATCTACTAAACAATTTATACTATGACTAATTGCATGTATATGATTTTCTTAATGATGTTCAATATGTAAGCTATGATTATGAGGTTTTTTAGACAAATACATTTATCTGCTTCTTTCTCCATATTCGTAGTATCTAAAACCATTTAATTACCATAGAGACTATTACAAGGCCAAAATATCAGCATAGAGACAGTAAATAGATATATGGGTTTTAGAATATAAAACTAAGAAAATAAAGAATTGAGGAAGTAAGAAAATACTCACAAAGATAGTTTTACAAAGAGAACTTCAACTAAAATATATATTTGCATGATAATTTACAACCTAAGGCTCAGATACCAATTATAAAAAAAGAATAAGATAGATCACAAGGAGAGTGGAAGATAGAGAGAGATAGTGCTAAAGGAAGTTATGGAAGTTGATGCCCTATTTCAGTAGAAAAGCTAGTTTTCAAAAAACAAAACTGCAACAGCTCAGCAAAATATTGCATAACTTACCTTTGTCTTGGATTTTATCCTCAACTTATTTATGTACAGAATTAGATGCATTTCATCCATAACCTTCAAAGAATGCCATTGCACTCATTTCATTGCACTCATTTCTTAAGCCTCCAAAGGTAACTACTACCTCAATTCTATTTTGTTTGTTTGTCTTTTTTTTTTTTTGTCCCAAAATTATATCTTCTTTTTTTTTTTTAATACTTGAATATCTTAGTTTTCCTATATTCTAAAATTATTTTTGATGATAATTTAACTTTTTATCATTAAAAATAATAGAACTTTAAATTTATCAAAAAATTTAATTTAATATTGTATAGACTAAAATGAAACGTTTTTCTTAAATTCCATAACATCAATAAAGGACAACATTATGAGTCGAAAGATGTATTACTTGCAAAAACACTATTTGCATAAAAGTAAATCAATTACCTACAAATGGCAACAATTTTTATAAATGGACAAGTGATTGGTCTTTTGTCACAATGGCCAATCGGGAAAGTCCAAACTCCAACTAGAATTAGGTGGACTTTTTGCTCTCTAATGCTTCCTTCAGTTTCCTTCCCAATGCAAATGCCAAGGGAGGAGGAACAGCATTTCCTATCTGCCGGTGCTTGTGTTGAATGTTTCCAGCAAACCGGTAGCTATCTGGGAAACCCTGTTTTGGCAGATCAAAAATCATTAGAATTATTCAAAGATCTCTCCCATAAAGAGAACTGTACCAATGTTTTCCACTTTATTATAGCCGTATGTAGATAAGAAGCCTGATAATGTTGTCAAGTCGATTGTGGGTTTCATTTCAGGAAAAAGAAATATTGTTATGATGGATCATGTTGCATTGTACATTCATTCAGCCTTTTTTTTCACGTGCACTTTAAAAATTAGGCTTTCACAAATATAGGAAAATGAAATGTCAATCTATCTTGAAGAATAAATTGTATGGTCTTTCACTCTTTTATGGTATGCGTTACATACTCCTTACAACGAAAGCTTTGAAACCACAAGCTTTCACAAACTACGGCAGCGATGAATGTCAATAAGTTGAGTGACTTACTTGAGACCGGGCACATTCCCGAACTGTGAGAATCCTGTCCTGTTCAGGATGAAAGCACATTCCAACCTTGCCCATTGGTTGAGGGTCTGTAATGGAAGTTGGGAAGTTCCCTTCCCAATCTAACCTTCCAAACAGCCCTTTCCACTGATTGTGTCTTTTGGCCGTATTTGGCAGGCACCAGGGTATTAAATCTACCACTTGTCCGGTAGAGAGTTTAACCTGCATTTGTATGAAAACAAATAAACAAGCAGTTCAACAATTTAATTCTGATCACAATTCAAAAGCAGAGGCAAAGAACAGCGGGTTTGTACCTTCTCATCTAGAAGGTCATGCCAATCGGCACCTGGTCGCTTTGGAATCTTTTGACACCGAATCAAATTAAGCTCATTCATTTCCTTTGATATATGATCAGTCAGAAGAGCCATTTCCCCTCGAATTTTCTTTTGAAACCATGAGATGGGTTCACTTTGATACTGTGCAAACAAAACATTGTAAATTATATATTCACATACAACTTTTATAGCATGAAGAAATTTTGGAGATACAATTTTCAGTCTAGATACCTCCAAATTTGTCTTTGAGGCCCCATTTCCTACAGCTGGCAGATCACCAATTGTATCTCTCACAGTGATTGCACGAAAAGGGGCACCACTTGCAGTACTTCTTACAGCTGCATATTGCAAATTATGTGATAACGTGACTTTCAACTCTGGAGCAGCAAAGACATGCATTGGCTCCGGCCATTCTGGAAGAGTCTCTTCAGGTGAGGCTGCCCATATAAATGCTCGTTTTCTTGACTGGGAAACTCCATAGGCTCCAGCTTCCAAAATACCAAACCTCACCTAAACAGGCAAAAACCAGAATATTAACATACGTGACTGCATATGTACTTATATCTGTATTCTTATAATATAGTTACATTCTATACAAACATTGCTGTTAGCTGCAAGGAATATCTACCTGGTAACCCATTTCAAGTAGTGAAGCCAGAGTTAACCTAAATGTTTGTCCTTTATTGAAAGACACAAAGTTCCTCACATTCTCTAGAAGGAAATACCTTGGCCGGAAGTAATCAGCAAATGACAAAAATGCTAAAATCATCTCACACTGTACTTTACTCCATGTACTTTGGTTAAACCTATTCATACCAGAGAAACCCTGCAAAGTAAGACAGCTTCTCTTAGTCAATCATTTATTAATTACTCCAGAGATAGAGAACGAAGGAGAAGAAAAGGAAAGCCATAATCTCTAATACCTGGCATGGAGGACCTCCATTGATGAAATCTACTTGCCCCGGCAATGGCAAATTATTAATTTCTTTCTCATTAAGTGAAGCAGCTATTTCAGCTGCCTCAGAAGTGGAGATACAATCATCTGCATCCCCACACTTCTCCATAATAGCCCTGCATCATAACTTATTTTTGAGTTATTTGAGTTGAAAAGAGGACGAGGGGAGAGCCAACTTGTCATACTTACCTAAGAATCACATTGCAGTTTTTAATAAACACCAAAGACTCAGGATGATTGAGTTTAAATGCATCTCCAGCAGGCTCTTCATATTCAATTGCCCATTTAGTTAATGATACACCTATATCAGTAAAAACAAAAGATGGTTTAAAATGCTTTAAAAATAAATATGGCCAAATACATTAAGGTTAATGAAATAGACATAAAGGTAGGCACATACCAGCTTGGTGCAACCCCTCTGACAGGCCACCACAACCTGCAAATATGTCTAAAGTAGCCAGGCGATTCTCCTGAGCTGCTTCTTTTTGCTTCCCAACTTCAAACTCATTTTCTTCCTGTTTACTCTTTCCTTTTTTCTTTTGATATGCAATGTCATTATCCACAATTCTGGTTGAGTACCTTAGTTTCATTTGAGAAGGTAACTGCTTGCCAATCAAACAAAAAAGGGGGGAGGGGGTGTGGGGGAAGAAAGCTATTTATCATCCAATGATACGAATCTTTTAAATATGCAAACAACAGTTTCCATGAAAATAATTGCAGAAGTTCATTTTCAAAAGGTACAACAGAAGGAAGCAAAAAGCAATCACCTGCTTAATGGATCCTTTGGAAGGATCATATATGCGATCACAAAAGAAGATATGATGAAAGATTGCTGGAGCATTGCATGCTGGAAGGTCATTCTTTTTTCTGACTTCACATTTCCCTTCTATTGCCTCAACAAATAAAATATGTGTTTCTTCACTATAATAGACCTGAAAATGAAAGCCATATATATTTACAAATATCCATAGGAAAAGGAAGACTTTTGATGTGCAAACTAAAAGTATAACTATATGAAGTACAAATTAATAGTTATCACATTAAGGTAGCTCCTACCTCTTGAATATCAGAACTATAAGCCTTTTCAGTTGAGATGTCCTCTGGTCTGAAAAATCTCCTGACTTTAATCTGTGTGGACTCCTTTCTAGTCTCTTTCAGCTCTTTTGGGACAATAATCTCCAGCACTTGACACACAACATAAGGCTTCAAGCCTATATTCCTCCCACCTTTAAAGTTTTCATTCTCAGCTCTTTCTAGTGCAAATTGATGGGGGCTTACATAGACATAATCATGGAGAGAGTACTCAGTTCCCCTGTATACAAACCCTGTCTTTAATGAATTCACTTTAAACATTTCTTGCTCCCTTCCAGCATCCTTAACTTGGCAAGAGTGGCAGAAACCAGAACCCAAACCCATATTATCAAAGGGAAGCCTAAAGAAAGCACCCCTCTCAGGGCAATACAAGCTTTTACAATAATACTCCATTGGCAATCCTTTTGTCTTCCGCTCCTCGGCTTTTGCTCTATCGAGTTTGTCCATGTTGGCATTATCTTTCCAGTGCTGATATCCCCAAGGCATTAACCGAATATCTACAACAACAGTCTGTTTCACGTACTCTAATTCAAAATCTCCGCAATGATTTGTTAGAAACACCTCTCTCTCATTAGCTGCATTGCCCAGTACAGTTTCAGATCCTCTCTGCATCAATATTCCATGAAACATTTTGCTTCCGTCTGATGTTTCAAACATGTATTCCACAAAATAGATAGCAGGAAGTTCATCGGAATCAATTTCAACAAAAACAGCAGTTCCAACAACAATTAATTCTCCACGAATAATTGCTCGTTTATGTAGAAGCTCATCAGAGCTAGTTTTGCTTACAGGCTCTCCATCCCATCTTATTTCCTCTTTGGAGGAACATTGTCTAGATCGTCTTGATACTGAAGGAGACTTCTGTGTCTCCTTTGAAATTGATTTATCTTCTTCAGCATCATCATCATCATTTTCCTCTTGTTCCTCATTTTCATTTTCATCTTCGTCTTTCACCTCGCAGCCAGTGTCCTTTGAATCTTCTGGCAAGTAATTTGAATAGTATTCCCCCCAAATTCTGTTTATTAGCCTTGTCGTGGTTGCCTGCATAACCTTTCTTTTAGATGCTACAGGTACCATGGCTGCTCGAGGATTAAGATTTGGTTCACTCTTATGTACTACTTTCTTCTTCTTCACTAACCATTTTGTATGGTGTCTCTCCTCCATTTTATTTGTAAGGCCAACAACAAATGCACACTTCTTAATCTTTTCATCAGGAAACTCTGCAAAGAGTTGTAGAATTATCTGTCCATGCACAACAATGTATCTCTCAACAGCTGCTGGATCTGAAGATATGAAAGCACGATTATCCTTCTTGAACTCAGACGCTCTTCTGATGACATCATTGAAAGAGAGGCGTGAGACTCGGCTTTGCTCCTTCAACAATGTAATGATGCTTATTGCGAGTCTTGCAGTTTTGACTACTGGCTCATACCAAGGAAGATATTGCTTTGATGGTTTGCCGAGCCTATACCTGAAAAATGGAGAGAAAATAAGAACTCATCATGATTAAAAATTAATGATATAATGAAAAACAATCTCATTATTTTGCATATTAGTAGACAATTTCAAGTAATTATGCTTTTTTTTATCACTTTGCAGTGATTTCTGTGCAGGCATTTTAGATCAAAAATTGGTTAGCAAGCAATTACAGAAGCTGCTGAACCCTAATGTAAAAACATGTGAGACAATACCAGGCCATGTCTGTCCTGATAGATATGAAAATCATTGATGATCCAAATTCAATCATCCATTCCTTTATCGCACTCAAAAAAATTGGAATCCCATCAGCACTTGGCACACTTGAGGAACCTAAGGTAGATTGACTAGGATCAGTATCAAGACAGAATCCACTCCCATCATCAGCAGTCATAACCCCAGATCCAAAGATGGTAACATCAATGTCAGCACATGGTTTCATTGGAAGAAGCTCCAAGGAAATCAACCTCGAGTCTGAATTGTAAAATGACCAGTTATGGAGCATGCTTCGAGGGAGTTCCTCGGGATCACAGTCATCAATGTCACTTTCAAAAACTACAAGCTCATCAGTTTCTTCATTAGAATTCTTGTAGTATGCTGGGAGAGGATAATCATTAGCAATCTCATCTTCGTTGATTTTGATGTAGAATTTGTTTGAAAGGGAGGCTGAACCTTGGTTCTTCTTCTGTTTCATAGATTTCCAGTATTCTTCCTCTTGCAACAGTCTTGCCAACTTTGCATCCTCATCTTCCTCAGCTGTAAAAGTAGCCGAACATGTCTGATCAAGTTTGCTCTCTTCCTCTCCAAACCTTTTACCAATAGTCAGAGTCCCCCCAGAAAATGCTGCTATTTCTTGCCCTATATTTTCACGCTTCCTACTCTCATCTCTAAGGGCAGAAAGAACAGGCAACCCAGTAAATACCCGGTCATTCTTCTTTGAAGTCTCATCCAAACCTATCAGCTGGTTATAAATAAACTCTCCATGGGAAATGACAAAATCTTTAACTAATGCCCCACCAGAGAAGCACTTGCTTCCACTCATTGACCGAACAACACCAGCAAGCAACTCATCAAGACTTAAGTCAGGATTCCCACCAAGAGGCTTTGAAAGCTTTTTATAAACCTCTATGCAAGCACGAGCTTTTTCAAAGAAATGCTCATAAAATTTCTTATAGCTGCTTGCGGGCTTACAGCAGCAGTAATCAGCTACATCAGTTGAAAGCCATATCACTGGACAACCATCTTCATAACCAGAGATGTCCCAAGATTCAATTCGTCCAAATCCTTCACATCTAACACTCTTTTCCTTTTCCTTGTCAGAACTTTCTTCAAGTGGCAATATCAAACCAGTTATGAACATGTCGTTGACTTCCAACATCTCAAGTGGATGTGGAAGACCTTCTGAATTATGCAATACAAAATCATTGAGCCTCCTGTTAGGGCGACCATCATCATTTTCATAAGTCAACCGTACAGCTAGAATTTCATCATCTGTTACCATATCCTTCTTTGTTTCAACGACAGAATCTTTTTCAGATATGCGGACAGATTTCTCCTTAAAATCTGTACAGGCAGCAGCTCGCTTTGGCCTTCTAAAAGAATCAGCTGGTTCACCATTTTCTGGAGCACTATTACGCTTTTTGCCTTTTTTACCAGTTCCCATCTCTTTCTTGGTAGGAGGGATAGCAGATCTATGTTTTCCTTTCTTGTTCTTCTTCATTCCTAAATGCAAAAATGGAAAAAAAAATCTTTTGAACTTGAGTTTAAGACAGATATCAAGGCAATGCACAAACAAAAATAAAAACAAATGAGTATGGTATGAACAGAGCGACCCTGTTATATATTACAGCATGATGAAACAAATAAACTAACTTGTTTCTTAAGAACAAATACAACTCATTCAAGTAGCCTAACAATCTTTATCGCTACAATATGAAGGATCAAACATCAACATTGAAAGAGGCCAAATGTTAGTGAGTAGAACATTCATATTGAATGAAACATGAATGGTTTGCACAAACACACAGGGACAGGGAAATGCAAATGAAAATAAAACTTATAATTGTTGAATATAACATGTTTTTGAAACCAAGGGTTTTAAAAGTCCTGAAACCTGAAGAAAGAAAAAAAAAAAAAAGAATAGTCCAAAAGAAACAGCCCCATTCAAAGAAAAGGAAAAAAGAATGCCTGAAGGTTCAAGTAGAAGGGAGTTGTTAAATGGATCAACATTCACGACACAAGAGAATCCTTGAAAATAATACTTAGCAAATGCAAAAGAACCCATATTCTATAACAACCAAAAATGGGAAAATCACATTCATGCTGTCTCTAACCTTTTAATAATTGCAATAAAATTGAAATTGGAAATGAAAGTTAAGACAATCTACCATCATCTGCTCAGCTTAGCTTCAGATTAGATGACCTATTTCAAGTTGTAAATACACAAATTTCTTCTCTTTTTTTGCAGAGAAAAAAAAAAAAGAAATACCTAAAAATCCATAATATAGTTATGGGCCGAGCCCCCTTTTTTTCTATATTTTTTGGTTCGGCCACAGCAAATCAAAGTTTAACATTCGGAAATGAGTATAAAGATTTAAGAATTCACTTTGAAAAATAAGTAAACGATAAAAGAAAAAAGAACCTGAAGAAGAAGAAGAATTAGAATCCAAAAGAGCGACAGATCCCATAGTTTGGAGAGACGATGGTTGATGGGTATTCCAATCTTTACTCTAAACACCCTTTTTTTTTTTGTTTGATGTTTGGTTTCATTCACTGACGACGATTTTTTTTTTTGATAAGAACATTCACATATATAAAAGAAAAGAAAGCGAGGCGGTAACATTGATTTTTAGAAAAAAGTTGGCGCCATTCCTCCCAAAATGAAAACTATCTACCATTTTCAACTTTTTTAAAGTATGCCCGAACGCCAAAAATCTCCCACAACCAAAAAGTTCTCCCCAACCACGACAAATGCAATGCCCACTTCTAAAAGCCGCGTTACCATTTGTAACAGTACAATTGCCTCGTCATTTCACTTCTGAATTTTCCCAAAATACCATTTTCGGTCTTTTACCAAAAAATAAAAAAAAAAACCCCACACCGATAGCTTTTATTTTCCACAACCATGCCAGTAGTTTGACTTGTTGCTCTAAGTATTAGATTTGAATTTTATGACAAAGTTCAATTGGTTAACGTTAGGTAATATTTAGTAAATTTGTAATTCAAATTTTAATATTTATAATTTTTTTATCATCATATTGTAATTCCTTCCATAAAAAAATGTTAGATTTTTAATTTCAATTATTAAATTTTAAATTTTTTTCAACCACAAATGTATTAAAAAAAAAAACCATGCTAAATATTTAAAAAGGAAAAAAAAGAACCATGTTATTCCCTGGTCACTAGATTAATATCTTTATCTTTAAGTCAACATCATTAGCTGTTTGTAACCACTTCAATTAATCCAACACTTGACTAATATCAAATAAGTCAATTAATAACATGAGCACAAACTTAATATAAGTGATAAGGTTAGGTTACAAGTATCTCATTTTTAATTTTTCACTCTCTTCTACCTTTTTCAACCTATTCCCTCTTTTTTACCTTCTACTCATTGTTGACTAAACATTAGAATGGATCCTAAATCCTATCTCCAACACCCCCTAACCATTCTATTTGTGATAGGTTACTCCAATTTCCAAGTCAACCATCCAAACAACCTCCCAATAGACTCTTAACCACCAAACCAAAAAACACGTCAATCATTAGCATCATTTATAGAAACGACGACCATGCCTCTCCTTAAAACAATGAAAAGTGCTACTTTTGTCATCCCTTTTTTCCTTATTGTTCTCATACCCCCTATACAACCTTCAGTCTCTTAACATCCATGCATGTCAAAGCATTACCACCAAAGCTTTTTTTACAAATATATTCTTTATCGTGCCAACCCTTTACATTGTACTTGTATCAGGTCATTCCAATTAGCAAGCAACGTACAACTACAGTGTGCCTTATATTTTTAACATTATCTTTGAATGTATGGATAAGCTGACCATTAACCATTTTCAAAGTTTATTGGGAGTTGTACCTCCACTTTACTCCATGCCTCATCCATTAGTTCATGCAAGTGGAGATCCATCAAACCTTATTCCTAACCTTTCATCAATAACCAACATTATACCCACAACAATACAAACCTCATTGATGCAAACAACACCAATCACTATAACCCTTATTATCCCCCAAACAGCCCTCATCACCTTTACAATCTATATCTCCCATTAGATGCCTATATTCACCCAAGTATAACCAATAACCTTCAACCAATAAACCCCATTTTTAAAATATAGTATTATTTCCTAGCCCAAATATAATTTTTCCACAACCAAGTGGCCACTCTATAGCTACTCATTCAACAAGCAACCCAACAACTAGAGCATCTACAACCCTATCGCGATATACGGATTCGAGAACCTAACCACCAAACTTTGGGAATGAAAAACCAGGGGGCTAACAAGCATTTTTAGTAAAAACCAAAATAAAAAGTTGTCATCAATTTTTTTAGGGTATGATTGGTCATTTAAAAATTTGTTTTTTTAATAAAACATTTAAAAATGAGTTTAAAGCTTACTAAATGAACATTTTGTAGTCTACAAAAATCATAGTTGGGTTTAGGAGTCAATTAGGTATGGAGAAGAAATAGCACCATTATAATGCTTGTCGAAGATGGTACCAATTAATTGCATGTTATCTTTAGATTTTGATAAAAATGGTCCCACTTTAGTGTTTATAAACTAATTCATTTCTTTCATTTGTTTATTTCAAAAGCTAAATCTTTTTTTTTCTTTTTTTTTAAAGCGAATAATTTTTTGATTTATTTTGAAAAGCAAAACAATTTATTTTTGTATTTATGAATACATCTTAAATATCAAAACATTTCTTTTACTTTCCTATAATTAGGTAAAGTTTCAAAAACACTTCTAACTTAAGAGTTTTCAAATTGTCCTATGAAAATTGAGATAACATCTCACGTAAATTATAACCATTGAGAGTCTCTTTATATTAGGTTAGATTTCAAAAGCTATATTTACTTAAGATATTATCTTATTATTAAAACCATTTTTCTTTGAAAACTCATTTAGAAAACATATGCATGATATGCATGAACATAATGATAACATGATGAATGCATAATAACTAAACATGAATGACAAGGTATAAATGCATAACAATTTGAGAATGCATGTAACATCAAAGTAAAATGAAATATAAATGTGTAAACGAGGGCAAATGTTGGTTTTAGGGGGTTTGGGAATTGGTTTAGGTTTAGGTTAGGGTTTGGTTTTGGGTTTTGGGTTGGTGTAGTGTCTAGGCTAAGGTTTATGGTTATGGTTTAGAGTCTAAAGTTATGATTAGGGTTAGAGTTTAAGTTTAGGTTTTGGTTGAGAGTCTAAGATTTGGATTTCAGGTTTAAGGTTTAGGGTTTAAGATTTAAGTTTAAGGTTTTGAGTTTTAAAGTTTAGATTTAGGGTTTTGATTTATGATTTCTTTAGGGTTTTAGTTTAAGGTTTAAGGATTGGATTTGGGGTTTGGTTTAGGGTAAGGATTTAGGGTTTGGAATTAGGGTTTAAATTTTGGGTTTAAAGAACAAAATTACCGAAATGCCATTGATAAAAATGTAGACGTGACAATTCATGTTATCGTGTCATGTAAAATACTATATTCATGTCACATTTTACACGAAAATCGTGTCACCATTTGTGTCAACACGAAATATAAAATATAATTTTTTATTTTATTAAACCTATTTATGATTTTTCTAAAATTTTAAGCCATGTTATCTTCGTGTCTTTTATTCATAATGTTTTCATATCATTTCATTGTGTTGTGCTTCAAATTGCCAGGTTTAGAAAAATGCAAACTTTGATGCATGTAACAAAATTACTAAAAAAACATTGATAAAAATGTCAACTTTGATGTACAATAGTAATGTAACAAAAATTACCAAAATGCCATTAATGAAAATACAAATACTAATGCATGGACCATGTATGAAAACAAACACATTACAAACTTAGATGTATTTACAAATATATTAGAAACAAAACATGCATGCAAAAATATGGCAAAATAGATCAAACACCAAAGGTTTTAGAAAATCTAAATACATGTTCCATCATTTTTTGTTTTGAATTAAAACTCCCTACAAACAACCAAAAATCACCAAAAATTCTACTAATCTAACATTTTTTATTCATTGGAAATTTGATCAAACACTTAGAAAACTCAAAGAATAAAGCAACAACACATGCAAACAAGTAACAAACAAGCAACATTTAACCATGAAGCAAGCTAGGAGGTTTTGGCCAAGCATGGGAATGGCTTGGTGACTTAACAAACTTTATAAGTGCATAGACCATTCAAGTAATAATAAAGACTATGAAAATCTAGATGTGATCCCACGAGGATTAGTTAAAGATATTCCTAAGCTAAGTACCTATTATTCCCATACCCTTCTATAGTTGGCTGAATAAAAAATTGAACATGAAGTTAAACTAACTACAAAAATAAAAGTGAATAAAGCATAAAAATATAAAGCTAAGTAAATGAGAAAATGAAAAAAAATTTAAATGCATACTATAAAATGTAAAATGCAATAACTAAACTAAATGAAATCAAATTGGAAATGAGAATTAAGAAATAAAATCACAAATCACAACTCACAATAAAAAAACTAAGCTAAGGACAAGTCATGAAACAAAAACTACAAAAGTTAAAGGAAATTTGATAATGAAGATGCTAAACTTAAAATTTTGAAAGCTAATGCTCGAAAAATTTATTTAATTCAAATGAAACAAAAAGATTATGGTGTGAACATGAATGGAACACTAGAAAGATATCAAGTAAAATTGTTTTAAAGAACCAACTCTAAAAGAAATTGCAAGCAAGAATAAAAGACAAGTAAACTGAAATAGATTTTTGTAATGCTGAAAATTAGATTATTTTTAACTATTATGTTTGCATCCAAATTGTACTTAATCAAATGAAAACATACTGAAATTTTAAAGATCTATCATGGAACATTATGAAGAATCAAATTGAAAAATAAAAGAAAAGAAAATCACACAGAGGAATGGAGGAATACAAAACCGCAACTTACACTTAACTAACTTGCAAATGAATTTGAATTTGATTAATCTATATCTAATTAAAGCTAAAGCAAATGATCACGTACTAGAATTAAAAAAAAAATCAACTAAAGAACTAAATGAAGAATGAATTGTAAAACTAAAAGTAAAAAGAAATGTAAAAACTCATTAAGGAAACTAAAATAGATTTCAAAAATTACAGTTGCAACTCATTGAGTTCATGCAAGAAAAAATTGGATCAAGAAATTTAGAATGAAAATGAACTAAAACCCAACTAAGGAACAATTAAACAAAAAATTTACTACAAAATCAAGTAAGAAATTTGTAGCAAATACAAGAAAAACAAGCTCAATTAGCTAGCAAACTAAGCAACATTCAAAAACTTAGAAAACATAGTATGTACTACAAATGTTACCCAAGCAGCAATCAGATGTAAAGAAATAAACTGGATCAAGTAAGATTCAACAAGTAAACAAGTAAAACTAAAGTTGATTTAGTGAAAAAAAGGCAAACAACTTGCCAAGGAGAGAGCAATTCCATGCCAAAGTTGATTGATCACATCAAACCTACACATATCACCTGCATCCAGACGAATCTTCCAAGCTTGATTTAGAACGTTGTGGTGCAAGTTTAAGGTTGAATTTTTACTATGTTGTAGCTAAATGAATTAGCAAACCATGAAAAAATTGAGCGAAAACAAGGAAGATTTGAAAAAGAATTGATCTAAAAATCGTATGTAGGTTAGAACTAGCAGATTCAAAAATAAATTTGAATATCAATGAGAAATCAGTGGATTTGG